AATAACCTGGCCTCAGTTTCCTCATCTGTAAAATTGTCAGGGTTGGACTAGATCACCTCTAAGGTTTCTTCCAGCACTAGATCTAAGGTAGAAGCAAGTAGGAAGATTGAGTTAATTAATCAATCAATCCACAGGCATTTATTGAGTACCTACTATGTGCCAGGCACTGGTCTAGGCATGGCCAGTCAATGAACAATGTACCTTTTATGTGTGAAGGGCTGAAAATACAAATTTGAAAAGGAAAGACCAACAATGCCTGCCTTCAAGAAGCTTACAGTCTAATGGGGGAAGACAACACACAAAAGCAAGCTGAAAAGAGGAGGGAGAGGGAAGAGAGATACTGGCCCAGTGGTGGATGAAGTTAAGGAGAAGTCCAAAGGGCTGTAGCTGGGTGGGAGATGTGCAGCACGGAGCGCCCAAAGACAAGAAGAAAACAGTTCCCCTCTCAAGGAGCTCTCTCCCTGTACTCACCTCCTGGTTTCCCTGGCTTCCTTCAAGCCTCAAATAAAATCTCACCTTTGCCAAGAAGCCCTTCTTGATCCCCCTTAATACTGATGCTTTCTGTCTCTTGATTGCGTCTAATTTATTACTGTGTCTATTGTATACTGTTTTTAATTCATTGCCCCTCTGTGTCCCCATTAGACTTTGAGCTTCTTTAGAGCAGAGCCAATTTTGGCATTTCTTTGTATCCCCAGAGCATCCTTGGCCCAGTGCCTGGCACATAGTAGGCATTCAATAAATGCTTGCTGACTGACATCTGTATTTGACAAAGCAACTTGGCTTTTATGGGTCTTATTTCCTGTGGCAAAGAGCTCTCTGAAGATTTATCTTATTGGGGGACAGAGAGGGTTAGGATGAGGACAGTGTGATACCCTTGTGCAAAGTGGGGCAGGAGATTTACTGTGTTTTGCTTAGAAAAGAAAGTCGGAGAAAGATTTGAGAAGAACTAGATTTTCAATGATCCTCCTGGGAAGAATGGTGAACAACCTTTCTGAATTCATTTTGGTAATGGAAATTTTAGAAACAGTCTCTTAAATGATCGCATCCACTCCCTGTTAATTGGAGATGGATTCGCTATGTGGTCTCCCTTGGTACCTTCCATGAACTAAGACAATAGTACAGGTAAAAGGACAATAGATAGGAACTGAATCTATGTATGATTTCATTGGTATAAGGAATTTCCAGGTGAGGAAACTCCCTCCATCAGTGCATCTTGGCATCTTCTCTGCCCCCTAGAGTTTTAAAGACATCCTAGAGAACTGAGAGGTTGTGACCAGCCCAGGGTCACACAGCCAGTATGTGTCAAAGGCAGAACTTGAATCTGGGTCTTCCTGGCTTCAAGGCCAACTTTTTATCCACTGTGCCATCTAGTACAGTGTACCTTACTTTAAGCAAACTCAATAAATCAATGGTTGGATTGACAAAAGAAATCAGGGAAATGATTATAAACTTTATTTGTAAAGGAAAGGAAGGATTTCCTCCCAAAGAAAGTTTAAAAAGTGACGAACCTTGAACAAATAATGTCACTGCTAATTTACTTCAGTTTCCCACCTGGATATCAAGAAAATTTTTCTGCTAACTACTCATCTCCTAAGACTGTAATTTGTTGCCCGGGGACAAAATTGTGTTGCTCTCATGAAATGACTCTAAGAGATAGTTTTTTTTCCCCACCTCACTTCTCTTGGGAAAATAATTTCCAGTATTAAGGAGTCCATCATTCAAGTCACTTTTTTGGTTTCTTCCAGGGAAAACCAGCAGAGTTGTTTTTTGTATTGTTTGACCTAATGACCAATTTTCCTGATTCCCGATGATGAGAAAATAATATGGGAGAGCAGTGAGGGTAGTAACAGAAAGGATGATTGAATCCCAGACATTATTCCTAATATGGTTCAATTAAGTTCTGTGTGATATTCCTTTCCGTCCTTCATTTTCCCATCTGTGAAATCAGAACAGTGATTTTTCACCACTGACCTCCTCCCTCTTCCAGAGCTGAGGTATAATGACATTTATCTTGAGAAAAAACAGATGCCTGTACTGAGACCCAAGGTTCCTCTTAACCTTGGTGCACTAAGGCAACTGAAGAGAGAACTTTTTTTCCCCTTTGCTCCAGATCTCAATATGTTCTTTAGAAATGGATTCACTTTAAGCACAATCACAAAGTCTAGAGAAATATTTCAAGGAATGAAAAAGAAAAGCATGCATCAAGTACTTATTATGTGCAATACACTGTACTAGGCACAGAAGATACAAATAGAAAAGTAAGATAGTTCCTGCTTTCAAAGAGCTTGCTTTCTCCACCTATTAAGACAGAGACAGCACATAGAGGAGATTTCAGCCATAAGTGCAATAAAGGCCCAGTCATCCTTAGGGTGCAGAGACAAGGTAGATGGTAATGCATCTTTTCTGGGGTCATTTCCATAAACAAAGTCATTTCAGTTTCTGATGTTCAACCATTTGTATTGCCTAGGACTTTGGCTTTGAGAATCTTCTTTCAAGGAGTTGTCAAAGCCTATTTCCAAAGCTATCCTAACAATCTTCTCCATGCCAGGCAGGTAGGAGGACCTGAGTTCAAAGCTGGCCTTAATGAATAATCCTTCCCTTCTCTTCCCTTTTCTTCCCTTCCTTCCCTTCCCTTCTCT